TGATGTAACTGCCCTGAACCCCTTGTGCAGCACCACAGCCCCTCCACCTGGGCCTGCCTGGGGGAAACCATCTCCAATCTTCATCTTGACATACGACTGACACAGGACATGAGAGCAACAACTGAGCAAGCCACTGCCACAGGTCCTGGCAGTCTCTGTGCTGAGCAGGACTGGGCAGGAGGGCTCCTGGCCTCATCAGGCAAAAGGCAGGGCAGTGCAGACCCTCTGTCCCAACCATGGGACAATACTGCCAGGTGTCTCTGGCTTCTGCCTGCAGCAGAAAGGGCAAACAGCAGCTCTGTCTCAAGCCTGTGTCACATCAAGGAATGGGATGCATAGGCCAGGACCTTACATGGTCACACAAACTTCCTGCCATGGAAACCTCCTTCCTTGTCATGCCTCTCTCTAGCACAGCCTCCCAGAGGTTTTTTCCTAATTCCCTTCCGAAGAGCAGTTTCCAAGGTCTGCCCTTCAGTCCAAACCCAGACAAATCCCCATCATCTCCAGACCACTAAAATGTGAGCAGTCTTCACCCTTACGCTGGTGCAGGAATGTGAGAAGAAGCCAGGAAGTGCTGGACACATGACCCTTGCYAAATACCAACAAAACAAACCAACTCCAAGTGCTTTCAGCAGCACACACTTACCACAAGTTGACGAAGTTGATGAAACTTGGGGAAAACTCCCTTTCCTCTGAGTTACTCAGCTGTGGTGGGTCTCCTTTCACTACCTGTGTCAACTGGTCAAACACACTGTTCCACTTGGGGTAGGGGAATCGCCCCGTGGCCAGCTCATACTGCAGGGAGACAGCAACAGCACCAGGCAGGTTTACATTAGGTAAGTTCAATCAGGGCAAGAAAATGTCCACAACAACCTTGATATGCCCCCAAAGGAAGACTGAGATGAGATTCTACATCCTGTTCCCTATGATTCTAAGTAGAGTATCCAGCCATAAGTTCTGCTGCCTGTGTGAGGAGCATGGCCAGATTTACCCTGAGCAAGCCAMACTTCTGTGCTGGCCATGTCTGCTCCTCCACTGATTATAAAACAAACCAGTGTAGGAGAGTAAAATCTTCCCAAGCATCCTAACAACCACTAGAGAAAATAGAGAATGAGAATAACACAATCATAAGGTATCTTGAGTTGGAAAGGACCCATAAGGATCCCTGAATCCAACTGCCTGCTCCTCACAGGATAATGAAAATGAGGTTTTTTAAACATCAGTGATGAAAACAGAAGCTACTGGTTCATACTTACTGCTTCTGCTTCTGAATCTGGAGCAAGTTAAGAGCTTCTCACTGTAGCAATGTGTGCAGCTAGCAGTGCTGTGGTTAAGGCAGCAGGATCAGAATCCCAGAACCCAGGATTAACCAAAGTCTCTGTGCAGCCAAAGCATAGCAGCTGCCAGGGCTATCAGTGGCTTATTCACACAGGCTGGATGCTCTGCTCTGCGCCACCACACTCTGCACCCCTCTTCGGCTCAGATTTTGAACACAAAATTCATTTACAACCCAACACCTYTTCCCTGATCAGACCTTGCTGCAGCCCAAGGCCCCCAAAGGGGCTCAGGAGAACCATCTACCTGGAAAGCATTCCGATTGTCCCTGAGCCAGGAGTGCCACTTCAGTCACAATGGGAAATGAGCTGGGCTGTGCTGCCCCTGTGACACCTCCACACTGCACAGGGCACCCCAGCTGCAAAGCCCCTCACTTACCAAGGTAATCCCCAAGCTCCAGACATCCGAGCGGACATCGTAGCCTTGCCTGGAYGCGCTGGGATCTATCCTTTCCGGCTGAAACGGGAAGAAGGACCAGTCAAGCTCTGTGCCATGCAGCAAGCAACAAGAAGCATCTGAAAACTTATTAAGAACTYTGAGTCTGTCCTGTGGAGCAGCACYTGGCACAGCTCCWGAGGCAAACTTGTGGTTAGGGCAATCATCCACCCCAGCAGAGAAAAATCTTAARGAACCACTTAAAACACTGATTTTATGGAGGTATAGTGTAAAAGGCGACCAGAAATGGCAACTTATCACAGTTCAGTGTTTCGGGGTTTTTTTCCCTTTTGCACAAACACCTTTAATAATTGTGAGTGTGTTATTTATTTTGTTTTGTTCAACTTCGGGATCTCTTTAATGCAAAGTCTCATTTTCTCTGTTTTTGCAGCCAAATTGTTCCCAAGGGATTGTAAGAACTGGAATCAACATCTCATCCACCACGCTGGGGAAGTGAGGCTTAGCAACATCTASCAGAACTCTTCTAACCAACCAACTGCTCACTGCCAAACCTAAGAAAATATTAAAAACAATGTGTTTCAAGGAAAGCTCTTCTTAACTAGGTTTTGACCATCCCTTGAAGGCCACTATGATGTCACAAGGCTTTAAGACATTCAAAAAGTCTTTCATAGAAAGCAATATTGAGCCAGACATGGGTAATCCATATCCAAGAGCAAGTAATCCAGAGAGGTGAGCCAGCAAAAAAAGATCTTTATATCTTGCATGTCATCAGTATGGGAAACCTCAGTCTGCCTTCTTTAATTAAAAATATAATAATTAACATGTCAAAAGAAACAGGGTATCATTCAGTTTTGACTACAACAATAACAAAGATACCTGAATTGMAATAAATTCTGAATTCTAGGGTACAGGAAATACTCTGGAAGCCCTGGTTGCTTTGTAGGCTACATTTAGATATCATTTCATGGAAGATGCAGCTGAAAATTGCAATGCAATGAACCAGGTCCTTCAGTGCAGCCTCAACACTCCTGTGGAGCACCACACAAGCAGACTACCACAATTCCCAGGATACCCATGGGAATACCTCAGAGCATTCCTGATCACCCTGCCATGCTGCCAGCTCTCCTCCTCACAGCCACCACCCCCATGTGGCTGTCCCAGCTCTGACTGCTCCAGACCTCTCCCTTCCCCTCAGCCACCAGCACCTTCACCTGCCCAGGCCCTGCACACCCACAGACAGCAGGGAGGAGCTCCTGCCAAGCTCCAGAAACCACTGAAGCTTCTCCAAGAGCCAGCCCATGTTCATTACTCCTCAATACACAAGAAATAACCTTCCCAGGGACGCCAATATGTTTTATCACACTCACTCTCAGTTACAGTATCTACTTTGAACTGAGGTGGCTTCCAAGGCCATACCCAGAATATTCTGCCTATCCCACCCTCCAAGCTCTGCCCTTTCTTTTCCTCCCTTACCCTTTGGTTGTGGTTTCCATTCAGCCTMAGCTCATACATTATTTATTCCTCTCATGGCTTGGATGGATGTTGCAATATTTCTGATAGGAGGGCAAAATAATAAAATTACTAAAATTCAACTCTCTTAAACCTACCATCAGCCTTCAYATGCTCCTCCTGTAACTCAGTCAAAAGCTATCACATCTACACTGCAGGTCCCCCCAAGTTCCTGCCTTCACTGGGCCATCCAGAGCACCCATACTGGCTACAACAGACTGCCAGAGCAGCTGGGCAGGAATCAAAAGCTAACAGGGCATGCAGACCATTAAATTCAGGGCAGGAATCAAAAGCTAACAGGGCATGCATACCATTAAATTCAGGCATGCAGAGTTACAGAAACACAGCGACAACTTCCCCACAATTTTGCAGGAGGATGTGAATGGAAATGTATATTCTCAATCCCTGCTACTTGCTTATTTGAAGGGAGGATGGTTTGATAAGCAGCAAACACTGAGGATGTGAATGTCCTTGGATGYTTCAGGAGGTTACTGGTCAGTTCAGCAGCCTTGTTTGCCCACAGACCCTCCAACATTCCAGGGATGCAGGCCCCAGACCATGGGGCTCTCCTGCTGCCATTCTGCTGTGACTGCAGCCCTGCTCTCAGAGCATCCTCTCAGCTCCAGCCCCTCCTGCCAGGCTCCAGCAGCAGCAGTGGGTGTGAGGCACATGGAGAAACTCCTTCCAGCCCTGGGGCCCCAATGCAAGTAGGGCATGGAGCTGCTGGAGTGAGTCCAGAGAAGGGCACAGAAATTATTCAAGGGCTTGAGCCCCTCAGCTATGGTGACAGGCTGAGAGAGCTGGGGCTGCTCAGCCTGGAGCAGAGAAGGCTCTGGGGCGAACTTATTCTGGCCTTTCAGTATTTAAAAGGGGCATATAAGAAAAAAAAAAATACTTTTTACCAGGGCCTGGGGTGACAGTACAAGGGACAATAGTTTTATACTGAAAGACAGTAGATTTAGGTTAGATTTTAAAAAGAAATTGTTTACAATGAGGGTGGTGAGGCCCTGGCACAGGGTGCCCAGAGAAGCTGTGGCTGCCCCATCCCTGCAAGTGTCCACAGCCAAGTTCAAGAAGGCTTGGAACTTGGTCTAGTGAGTAGCAGGGGTTACTGGACAAGTGATCTCTGGGTTCAACCCAAACCACTCAGAATTCTACGGTTCTATCCATGGTCCCCGTGCTGCAGGACATTGTGGACCACTGTCCCTCTCCATGAGGMACAGTCACTGCCCATAAGCATTTTGGCAATAGAAGGTTCCACAGCTGGTAGGTACCTTCCCAGCATGGAATCAGAGTCACCTTGCAGGAAAACAAGGACCACCCTGTGACAAAGGACTCTTCCTTTAGTCCCACACCTCACAGGGAACATGCCACCCACAGACAGACACTGTTGCATGGGAATGGCAGCAGGTACCCCAGCCCTGAACTCTGCTGGGGACACACTATGATGTCTGGAAGCTTCCACCAGGGATGTACCAGCTCAGGACACATCAAATTATGGGGATGCTGGCCTGGCCAGTGCTGTGACCCCCACAGCAGACCCACAGGGATGTGCCACAGCAGAGCAGTTGCCAGGCTGCAGATAAAGGAGGGACTGCATGGGAGCAGCTACTCTGGGAAGGGCCAAACTGCCCAAAAGGATGGGTGGGATGAGTGGCACTGGTGAGACAGAGCTGGCTGTCCCAGGCACCCATGAAAGGCACCTGCTGCTGTGACTGAACAGAGCAAGGGCAATTTGGCCCTAGACCATGGTGGCACAGTTAGAGGGAAAGCARGACAGACCAAAATAAATCCCATCTAAATACAGAGCAGGAACAATGCTGAGAATTTTCCATGTAGATGACACGGGAGCAATTAACACTAACGAAGGAAGAGTCACCATGTCACAGTCTGGGGACCTGGAGCAAGGGCTGCAGACAAAGCCTGGCTCAGGCCACGTGCCTTTCTGATGCCAAGTACCAGGAAAGAAAACGGCTGAGGGGGAGACCCATCTCTGGATGTGCTGATGGGGTGAAGGGACAGTGTATGGATGCATCAGAGAAGGGTGCAGGCTGCCACAGGGCTTCTCACTAGTTCAGTGTCCATCTGAGCACCAGTGTACTGACTTAAAAATGAGCAGCATGGATCCCCCCTCTCCCCCAGACCCCAGCTACACAAACACAGCTAAGCTTGTGACACAAGACCAGATGCACACACAACTCCCTGTRTGCCTGAGCTGTTGCATGTTGCTAAAGAGCAAAGTAGCATTTCTGGGCAAACCCAATTCTTGAAGCTCAGATCTGAGTTTTCACCAGTTACATAATCAGGTAATTTTACCCCACATGCAGCACAAACTCAAAACTGCCTACATGGCAATAAAATGTACATAACAAACTCTTCTTTGTTACTTAGGTCAATGCATCTCTAAACTAAAAACAAAGTAAAGGGTTATCAGGAGCAAAGCACGACCACAGGACTCAAATCTTACCCTCTCCCAGAGGGAAGCTTCACAAACTTTAACTGAGATGCCTTCAATGCAGAAAACATTAGGTCCCCCAAAGTACAAAACTACTTTGGGAAGTTCTTCTGCTGCTCAGTAAAGGAAAGTGTTGTTRCTCATTTTTCACACTCCAGAAAAGCTGATTGTTCTTTCTTCAGAGCTCTCCCCTGCATCTCCCCTCATCTGCCCACTGAGATCCCCAGATGTTTTACTCCTGTGAGCCCCTTCCCTGATGTTCCTGCAGGGCTGGACTGGTAGTTCAGACCCTGTAAGGTTGAGTAAGAGACTGAGTGCAAACCTGCCCAGGAGAATCTCACCACCAGCTCTTTAGACATGACCACCATTTCCTAAAAAAATCACAAGATGGTTTGGGTTGGAAGAGACCTTAAAGATCACTGATTTCCAACACCCTGCCATGGGTAGGGACACCTCCCATAGGGACTCCTCCCATTGTCTCAGGTTGCTCCAAGTCCTGTCCAGCCAGGCCTTGGACACTTCCAGAGATGGGGAAGCCACAGCTGCTCTGGATAACCTGTGCCAAGGTCTCACCACCCTCACAGGGAAGAATTTTTTCATAGTATCCAATCTAAATCTACTCTCAGTTTGAAGCCATTCCYTCCTGTCCTGTCACTCCAGTGAATAGTCCTGCTCCAGATTCTTTGCAGCCCTTCAGATACTGAAAGTGCTGTAAGGTCTCCACACAAYCTTCTCCTGCCAGGCTGAGCAGCCCCAACTTTCTGTCTCCACAAGGGAGATGCTCCAGTCCCCATATCAACTTCACAGCCTCCCCTGAACTTGCTCCAAGAGCTCCATGTCCTTCTTATGTCATGAGTCTMATGACTGTACACATTATTCCAGTATTCCAAAGAGTATCCAGTACTCCTGCTCTGTGTCCTCAGAAGAACAGGCTGTGCTGATTTTCTGGCAGACCTCCCTTTCCAACTCACAGCCCCACAGGAGGTGCTGGAGCTCCAAACAGAGGTGAGCACCCACCCACCCACTCACCCTCTGGCCAGTGTTACTGCTCAGCTCTACAGTACATGTCACAGGCTCTCCCTTCGGTGGCACTGAT